GGCTTCTTAAGCTTCGTAATATATTGTAGACATTTTTTTGTCTCTTCGTTTCGATTTTTACGAATGGCTTTCTTTCTTTTTTTTTTATTGATTGTACTGGACGTTTGCATTCTTACTTCAAGGCTTTAAGGGTTCCTTTGGCTACCGTGGTGTGTCGTTAGCTCTGACTTACCACTGTTCGGTGCGTTCCCGTAGCGCGCGGATACGATGCGCAGAGGTATATGTTTTGATGGTGGTTTATCCGGCGCGCAGGCATGTGCCAGAGAAATTAGAAATGCTGTGCGAGGAACTGTTGTTAGGAGAATTGAATATTCAATGGTGCGAATATTCAATTTTGTCTGTCTGCAAGACGATTTGTTTTCAAGATTCGCTAAAAATTTTCAGATTTCATTTTTATTTTAAATAAATTAATAGCATTTAAACGAAGTGATTATTTATGGCAGGCGGCTCGCACGAATGGCGATGATCGATTATTAAAGGTCCACCTCAGTAATGCTCCGTCCATAGAGCAGCTGGCGTTACTCGTGCACGACGCAGTACCGATTAGCCCCGACCAAGTATAAGTTTGCATTTCAATTGAACGACAGGGTCGATTTTAATAACTGTACCTACAGCGGCTCGTCTTTTAATTTCGAAGTTTTGCCTATGGGGCTTTTTTACTCGACGAATGACATTTGAAATTTCGAAAAATTCATAGCTGCCAGAGAGATGTTATATTTTTAATTTTAATCGAGGTTACGGCTCACCTTCGCGCGACTCTTAGGGATGGTTATAATTGTTTGGCGTAACCAGAGAGTAAGGTCGTCAGGCGTGGCTATCAGTTCTTCGTGAATTACGTGAACTTTACTCAGGGTTCTCCTGTGTTTACCAGAACGGATATTGGTCTGATACTATTTTGCTTTATGATTACTGGTTTTTTTTTTTTTTTTTTTTTTTTTTTTTTTTTTTTTTTTTTTTTTTTCCTGTAAAAAGGTTATAACGGTAATGGTAATATCAGTTAGCTGATAATCCGTAACTATCATCAATACGCATCTACCATTATCACGATTAACAATTAGTTCCCGGCTATTTTCACGATCGATGATGTTATCAGTGATTGGTGAAGCGTAGTTTCGCATAAGGTAATTGGTTCGTACGTAATTTCACGTGGCTTCGTATTTTTTTTTCTAGATACGGACCGTTGCTAGGCAACCGGTCGAAACGATATTGTTGAAAAATTTCGGCACATTGGATAGCTCTTCTCTTCGTTAGCTCTAATAAAACAAAGCTATAAGCTCGTGAAATCCCTCAACTGCTGTTATATTCATTAGCCGCGCGACCAACTGCATTCGGACGCCTTTAATGATCGTGGTAATCACCCCGTACAGCATTGTGTACATTAATTGTACCAATTAAAGCGTCATTTCATTCGACGGCCCCCCTGCCCCCCGGGCACTCGTGATCGGGTAGCCTGGACTCTCAAAGCGTTTTGTTTGTCTCGTGATTATTTTTTATCAACTCAGCTATTAACGCCGTGCCTCGACATTCCGCGTATTCACGTACAAGCGATTTTACTATCGCGCTCAATTTACATGAAAAAGATAGATCATACTTCACTTGGACTCGTACGACGTCTAGTTTTCGATGTTGGCAAACAATGTCATTCTTCGAAAATCACACGTGGCTTGTCCGTCGAAGCAGTGAAATGTATGTTAAATTAGAAAAATATTGTATTTCTTGCTCCCTAAGCCGAAAGTACCGTCTTCCCGGCCGCACTTGAGTCCGGGAAGAGCCACTTTTGTGGGCTGCTTGCCTGCATATAAACAAATGCAAACAAGTGAATGTTCAATCATGAACTCTAAGCGCCTATGTTTTTACTCAGCTCTTCATAACCGTAAATTTGTAATGTCAGTTGAATAATGAAAAACGGGAAGACGGTATTTTTGGCTTAGGGAGCAAGAAAAATAGTACACGACCCATGGCCAAAAAGTTAAATGGTCGTAATATACTAATTAGTGCAAAATTCGATATTCTTCTATTAACTCGAATAACAAAAATTGTAATTCGGTGTCACGTCTGGCTTTCCGGGGACTTGATTGTTTTCCATCTGTCAAAAAAAAATAAAAAAGAAAAAAAGTAAAAACACATCGAACTCGTTCACCGACTGTATCCACGGATCGTACGCGGATGACCGAGGGACTCTTTAACTTTGAAACTCGTACCAAGATGACCCCTCAGAAATGCACGTTACACGTGGCTCGACTGTACTCCGTGATTGCGGTTTTATTATAAGGCAAAGAACTTTCCGTATCACAAGACTTTAAGACTCTCTTGGCGTCTGACGGGCCAGAAACCATTCTAGCCACGGAGAGAAAGGCATCCATTGGTTTCTCTGGCCCCTTTGTGGCACAAGGTTATGTAAGCGCAGGACATGTCGAGGTTTTCGACCTGGATTCATAAATCCATCGACTACTCCCGTACACTCCGTTCTGCCCTCAGGCGATCTCTGCCTTTGATTCATCCTCCGGCCTCCATAAACATTCGTCCTGATACATGGCGTTACGAGATTTCTAGAAGACGTCGGGAAGTAAACATTTTGACGGGAGACCTTTGGAGATCTGTCATCTAGAAATGAATACTTCGAAAGAATTACTTACCAAGACCTTTTCAAGGACTCGATTGATCCTGTAAAACACCTGATCCCGATTACCACACAGAACTTTTCTTCAATTCAACTTCCAATGGCGCATCCTGTGTTAACCTCCATACCGATTGGAATCTAGTTCAATCTAGATTGATACAGGACCAGGTCAGTGCTTGTATATCGTGACTCACGTTTGATATCAGCGATTGGAGTTTCTCTAGAATCATAACCTCACGCCAAGGGCGCATTTTACGTGCAGGTCAATGTATTGTAATTTGTCCAGACTACGTGAGCCGTGCACGAGAGATCAGCCCGGTGAAAAAGTTGGTTGCTCCAATTCAAGGAAATCCGATTGCCTCATGCCAGTCAGCACGTATAGCGACAGATCTGCTTGCGCGTGCAGTTCGAAATTTATAGAATCGTTATTGAAGTCATGTCTGCAGACAAAATCGGGCGGATCGAAAGAGAATCGTCCCCCGTGAATGGCCAAGCCCGCAACCTATGCTCGTAAGCGACGGGACGACCGTGTCCTGTAAATTTGGGGCGAAGGCCTTACGAGAGAGTCGTGACTTTCATGAGATACCTTAAAGTTATTTACGTTAAGGTAAACGAAGCGTAGAGGAACTCGTGCTCGATCTAATATTTCAATGTAAAAAACTTCCGTACCACGAGGGCTTACAAGTAAGGTATTTATTTTTTTTAACTGCAACAACCTTTACATATGTTTGCAATATTTTATAACAGCGTCAAGGAACGCAGATGCGAAATTGATTAATTGCACTTTTTTTTTGTAAATTTCTTGATTTCAGTACCCGAGCATTAGTCGCGTGCTTTTCTTGTAATGCCTTGCTGCATAGTGGATAACGGTAATAAGTTGTACCGAACTGTCGCTAGACGAAGCAGCTGCTTCGGCACAAGGGACTTGATCGCTGTAATGAAAACGTGGGTCTTCCTCAGTTATACAGTAGCCTTCGTTACAATGGGTGGTTCGAGACTGCAGTCGAAGGATACCCGACGACTGGTGCAGTTTATTGCGAGGACGCACGCGTTTTACGGGAGTAATTTACACGCGTTGAACAGTAGGTAAGACGGTTCACAACGAAGCGTAACACGACGAGAACAGCTAGAACGTGCTAGGAGATCGGAGATGGGAACGTTGCATCGTAAGGATATGCGGCGCTGAGTAAAACGAAGAAAAGTATCGCGTGTTTTGTCAAAGCCGACAGGTAATACCCAGAGGGAGATTGGCCGCTGTCACTATGTTGTCCAAGAGCGAGAGTTTTCCCTCAGTGAAATATCTCGATGCGTGCGGTAAAATTGCCGGATATTTCGATCTGCATTCGAGCGTATAAAGGAATCCCAAGAGGATTAGGAAAAAAAAAGTGTTGTGCATTCGCGTCCTATCCACAGCACGAGATACACGTAGAAATGGGAAAATAATCCTTTGGAAGGATATATAAGACAATTCGAAAGGGATTTTCATGGGATTGAGATTCGTTTAATCGAAGGTCAGATCGTTCAGCTATTTCGATTTGTCTTCTTCAGGGTGTCTTTTGTCGAGATTTCTGTTTACCCCGGGTTCACATTATCCCACGTCCCCTGCTCTCGCCTGAACACGTGCTCGGAATGGGAATAAGGCGAATTCACACGAAAGTACCGAAAGTCACCTCTTGCGGTATTTTTCTCCTGTCAGTCAGCTGTTTACAGCAGTTTGGCCCATTATCGTGGCTTTTCGATATTGATATCACGGATTACGCTCGTTTTATAATCACAGACCTAGTTATCATCGCTAGTGTAAGAGCAACGGGGGGGAGAACGGGGGGGCTTCTGCGATCGATCAAATCTGTCATTTTTTTTTAGCTCCCTTACTGATCTGCACTTTGCGATCTTATGACGTATTTTGACAAGTGTTAATCCCTCCGCGCTGGGTTTTCCTCCTCTTTCTTCTCTTCTTAGACATTTTTCGAATCGTCTCGTTCTACTTTGCGCTTGAACCGCCGTAAGGAGTAGGTGGTTCCCAGTAGTTGTTCTCCTATACCTAGCCGATTCCTCTCCTCGGTTAGTTTCGTGCACGATCAGTTGTCTGTACCGAGGTGTGCCAGATCGGTTACGGGTAGAAGGATCGGCTTTACTCGAGGTATAGTTAGTCTTTCAGTCACCTCCGTCCTAATCGGTGGCTTCAATTCTTATGGTATTGGTTCTATCTTCCTTCTTCGTACTGTCTATTATTTTCATTTAATTACTGTTCAATCTCACGTTACTTTTATTTCCATCGAGATCGGCTTCGTGCGCTCGGCTCGTACCGATCCGCTTATTCTCAGTGTATTATCGTACGACCGTTCGACGTGGTTTGTCAGCCAGTTGACCTCTGTTACAGCAGCCAGCAGGACGGAGCTGCCATCACAGCGACTCCTCCACATGTGGACATCCCCGTCCCAACTTAGGATTGGCCGGGCACCTAGGAAAAAGTCGACGCCGTAAGTGGACAGCATGGACAACATTGACAAGAGGACACCGGGCACTAGGAGGAAGCTTTCCTTTCTTGGATTTGGAAGACGAAGTTCGGTGAGTTTGGCAAATTTATGTTTTACTGTTTATTATTTTTTAGAAAATTTACCCGGCACTCGTCGTATCGATATTTATAATATTTATACGTACCAACGATATTTCACGTACGGGATCCTCATACTCGGGCAAAATCATTAATTTACGATCCGAGGATGCGGATAAAAGTTTGTGAAATTGTTTATGTAATCCATGACAAACTTTTCGTCCAAATACCCTAATTACCCGAAGCAAATATATTTTTAATCGAAGTATAATTTTTCGGAAAAATTCTTGCGAACCCGGCGCACGTCATTACCAAGGAGTATAATTTGCAGGATCAACGGTTGATCTCACCACTGGCTGTTCTTTACGCGCTTAGTACTTTTGCTTGCACGAACTACACTCGATGAATAGTTATAGTTAATTATCGTACACGCCCTTTAATCAAAGAACCAGTCAAGTGGTCCTAAGATTCTGTTGAACGAGGGACGATCATTCTTAGCTTCTCCTCGTTCAATCAATTAGCACTTAGCTACGTTAAAGGGGCACCCAGAGGCTCCCATCGGGACGAGAATCGAAATGTTAACACGTACATTAGAACGAGCCGGTTCATTCGACGATCGGGCCGATCGCTGTCATTAATTTCTATATCGAAGGGAAAGAATCGAATTGCATATGAAGATGAGGATAACCTCTTTCTCGTGAATGCACAAGAAGCGTCGAGCGAATCGTAAAATAATTTTTCGATTCTACGAATTCTATTAAATTTATACTACCTCGTACTACCATTCCAGACGTTATGCTCCATTACGCGAATGCTAGATGCATCGCGTTAATTGCTCGCGGCTGGCATTTTTCTTGAATCGCAACCACGCTGCATTTGCCACGATCGCGAATATTCCGAATGCTTATGTCGAACTGTCATACATAAGAGGCCACATTATTGAGAGACTGGTAATATCGTGTTCTTTTTTTCTCTCTCCTTTTCATACGAGTAATTAACACGTGTCAGTGGGTCGTCCTCTTATCCTTCCTAACAATGCCTGTCAATGTGTCGGGTGTCGTTCTCAGCGAGAGAGACGTATAGTATATCAAGAATCCAGGGTGCCCCCTGTACCATCCTCACGCACTAGGTGTTGTGTGATCCCGAGATTATTCTAACGTCCAGAGTTAACTGGTTATTGACTTAGCGACCGGCAGCAATCAAGCCAATCAGTCCGCGAGGTCGAGCAGTATCGAAACCCTGTCGCGCTAACGTCCCGAACTCGAGGATGTCGATAAGATGACGAATTTCGAGGTTAATCTTATCCATCGTTTGTACGATATTGTTGCGAAAGGCAATCGGCTTGTTAAAGAAAAAAAACAAAGGTGCTCGCTCAAATGGAACTTTGGTCGCGTTATTTACGAATAGGAATTTCGTTACGACGATAACCGCGATACCAGATACCACGCTGAATTCTATAGATTGGCGAATAAGCTGCTCGCGGTATTGTTGCATAAGTGTCAGAGGCGGGAATTGCATCCAGATGCACATTCGCTGACGCGCGCGTCGTCGGGACGGAAGCGGATGCGAAATCATCTTGACGTTCCTTCCTTGCCACATCAGCCTTAATGATTTAACCATCGCGGCGAAGAAGCGACAGCTTCTTGTTTACGCGCGACACACGATTCCTTAGGCTTCTTCGTATTGGCTGACGGAGATTACCTTGCTTGTGGTAATTTAAGTATTTCTTTTTTATGTTTCGAGTAATGGCGCAATCCTCCGTTTCACGTATTGACACTATTATAGGATTTGACTAGGGAGCAATCGTGATGTCTTGGTGGAATTTTGAAAAATTTATCTTCTCGATAATTAATTCGAGACTTTTTTTTATCTTGGGACATTTCCAAGCTCGACGGCTTCCCAGCACTTTTTCACTTGAATTTTCGTATTTTATTGATCCTTGGCTCGCGACGCGCTGAGAATCCGCGGGAAGACTTTTTTTTTCTTGGAACCGGAAGAATATCCTGCGTCCTTCTTGGGCTCGTGTTATTTTATTCGTTTAAGGCATTGGGGTTCTTTCTCAAATTTTACATCGTCATAAAATCGAGCGATTCGCGTGATGCCGATCGTGATATTGCTTACTTACTTTCTCTCCGGACAAATAATTCACGTAACTCGAATAATGGCTTTACGCTGAAACTTACCAGCAGGTTGCGCCAATTGACACGTGCTTGGGTAATTAGCCAGCGTCGTGTCTGTAATTTTGATTGATGACAGATGAAATTTTATGAGATTCGCCGTCCAAGCTAATCATCCCGGTGACGGAGATCTTCGTGCCCGGGACGTTCGGTTTCAAGGCTCGCGATGAAAAACATCCTACGTGGCGCAATTAGATCTGTTGTTAAAATAAAAGTCACCCTATCGTTATGGTCAGATAAGTATCGTCAAATGATGGCTAATCATTATACCGAAATATATATCTCATTTTCAGTAGGACGTAACGATTACGTGGCACACCTTTTTTTTATCTTTTGTTTTTCGAGGAGTCATCTCTTTTTTTCACAGGCACCAACGTAACACGTTGCTGGTATTTTCGTATGACCGTTTACAGCCGATAGACGCTATTTTAATTGGCTCCGGTATGACTTGTTCACTTGAACATTTTTCTTTGATGAAAATCATCGAACGGGAATGAGCGATGAAATAAAAGGCGAGAGAGAGAGAGGTGGGAGAGCG